ACAAACACTTCCTAGATCTTTTGTGTTTTTTTTTCTGGGGAACCACTTTCACATCCGAAAAATAAGCAGAACTGCATTTTTCACTGTCAAATATGTGTATGTGACAATATAATAGATTACAAAACTTAAACCTGACCTGCTTTGTGTTCTCAAAGGGTCAAATGCAAGTAGCCCAAACAAATAATGCTGTTGATTAAAAGAAAAATTTAAGTACATGGTCCCTTCCCATGACAGGTCTCTGTCAGGGCTGTCCGTGCATCTTAGTGTACCATGACACAAAACATCTGGTTCCTCTTTAGCTGCATGGGGGTGCCTGGTTAAGCCTCCCCTGCAGGCTGGGCCATCCGCTTCACAGAGAGGACACGGGGGAGGGAGGAAAGGAAGGAAAAGGGCAGACAGACAGACAGGAGTTTTATTAAAGAAGAGAAGAGAGATGCAAGAGAAGGGTCACATGCTTAGTGTGCTGAATTAATCCTAGAGTTTTTTCATGTTTGGATTTTGGTGATATCTTTTGCATTGCATGTCCGATAGATCGCTTTTGAACGAGATGTTTGACATTTCAAGTCAGACATTTCAGGTCATGTTTTTCAATCTGTTATTTACAAAAGCCAGAGACTGATATTGCGCACGTCCCGTAACAAGCCTTACATATGTAAAGCTGTGAAATATATATTATAATATGTAGTTATACTTCATCTCTTCCCACACCTACTTCCATCATTGGTCGTGTGTACAACCAAATGTAACAGCATGAATGCTATTGAGGAGAGACTGTCTAAAAGTATATGTTAGCATGTCTCACCCTTCTCTGCGATGGCCTGCTTTTTGCCCCACTGTTCATTGGATTTTCAAAAGAGGTAACAGTTTTTCCTTGGTGACGTGTTCCGACAACACTTTGTACAAGCTAGTTTGTATAAGGCATATTGTACCCTTAACACTGTTGCCCATGTTTTCTGGATTCACAGCTTGATAGGGAAAACAGAAGAAAACAAATGTTGACATACTCAGATCACTGGTGGTAAAAATGAAAACAAACACATTTAAATTTTTTTGTGTATGACAGGATGTTTCTTTTGAAAGATCAATAAGATTCTAGACCACTGGTTCCTGATTGTGGTTTGCTTGAGTCTCTGAACTGTGACCACTTTAACCAATGTGTGATTTTTCCCTTCTCAGATCGTTTCATTTGAATAGTTTCAGAGTCCATAATGGCTGAAACTCTCTGGCTGAAAAATTTTGTTAATCCTATTGTGACCTCTTGCAACCCCTTGGCTCATCCTGTCCCACTGTGCCATATAAAAATATTGGTTAATACTTACATTGTAAAAATACATTGTCAATATATGAACAAAATCCATTCTCATAAATAAGGCCCCTTCTTTGCAAAAGTAACACAATGTATGTTGTCCCAAGCATGACAAAACCTTTTGAAGATTGCTCTCAGATACAGAGAGTATGCAGTAAATAGAGCAGGAGAGAGACAGAGTTTCAAAGAGAAATAGAGAGGGCAGATACACAGGGTGTATACAGGAAGAGAGTGATAGAGAAGGGAGGAAAATGAGAGGGTAGGGAGGCCCTGTGGCATATACATGTAGAGAGATGAAGAGTGGGAAGGAGTGCAGGAGAATGCAGGGGAATGAAAGACACAAGGTTAGGTAGCATTAAGAAGCACTGAGAAAGAAGGGAAGGGTTTAGAGGTTAATGACAACCTATAGTGAGAGAAGAAGGAGGTCATGTAACACAGGAAAGATTCTCTAGTCATCTTACGCTTCTCACAAACCTTGAGATCACAGGAGAAGGTGCTGGGTACTACTTTGGCATTGTGGTCAATGGTCCTAATAGTGGCTATTGTATCCAGCAAATCCCACTCACTCTGTGTGTGTGTGTGTGTGTTTTCACATTACCTATTTGTCATGCAAATTTACATTAACTTTATGTTCAGAAGAATTCAGTCGTTGTCTATATTTAGCATCATTTCTCGTTAAGACGTTGTGTCCCAAACAACTGTCAGTTAGCAGTGTGACTCAGATTTAGTCATTTGTTGTCCGAGATAACACTTGGAGCAAGAGCTAACCTCTGAAAGTGGCTGGTTTCCTTCAAGCTCGTAATGTCCGATTCAATGAATGCACACTGCCCTGAAGAGTAGAACCAATGAAATACATTAGAAGTAGGAAAAATACAGATATTGCCCATATTGTTGTGGATTTCAAAGTTATACCTGGTGGGTCAGTAGGGATTAACAGTTGCTATATTGCCTTCGTATTCTTCATATAATTTTGCATACTTTACCCCATCCCCCTCAATGGAAAGCCAACATCAGGATTAATGACTTTGTTTAGGCTCCTGTGGTGATAATCCCCTTCAATGCTTCAATAGAATTATCATTTTGGACTCAGATGGAGAAGAGATTGTTATGGAAGGAAGTTGTTTAATAAATACCCCAGCCAACACACCGTAACCCCTTTTCCCACTTCCTCCTCATTTTCTACCCATATTTCTTGTTTTATTCCCCGTCCAAGCCCTTTCTTTCCCTTTCACCTGTTGCAAGACATTTTTCCCGGAACTCTACCTAAACATTGGCAGACTTTCCCGAGCTCTGGCAGACCGACATCTGGAAAAAACAACTAGCTGGCTGTTAACCCCCTTCCTCAGTGAATTTATAGTGGCATGCCATTAGACATGCTAGAGCTTCTCTGTGAGGAGACTGATACAGGTTGATGGTTACGTGAACGTGATATGTCATCTTCTAATGTATGAATAGTAGTTTAGTATTTAGTATAATTGAGATAATTTTAGGAATTATTCTGGATAGTTTTGTTATTAATATTATCAGTAAATGGGCTTATTTTGTAAGCCAAATAAAAGGAATATGCTGATAAATGAAACATTCAACTCTTCCAATGATGAATTTTGATAAATATTTTTAACAAATGAATCTCTATAAACCCACTGCGGGTAATTTGCTGGTCTACGAAAATATGAAAATAAGTCTGAATATGAGACTAAAAGAGTTATTTTCCCTTCAGAGAGCAACATTTTTTGTTTTACTTTCAAGTCGCTTTATTTGAATGTCAGTGGGCCAAAGTGCTTACAGTCATGTTGTCTTAGGTTTGAATGTGGCTCATGACCTTTGTCATTTTGTAATTCTGTCACACTATTATTTACTGTCTTGAAAATCAAAAATGCATTAGATAAGATGGAAAACCAGGGGTTAAGTGTTTTGTTGTGTTTTCCACTATCAGCGGTGTCATATGGTTTGTCTTAAAGGATGAGACATGGATCCTTTTTCCTGCCAAAGGAGGTTGTTCATTGTTTTACCTCATGTGAAAGAAAAGTTAAAATAGCATTTGATAACACTTGAGGCAGACCTGTGGGAATAATAAGCACAACAATATAACACCCTCCTGCTGTCTAGCACGGCACAAGGAGCATTTATCTCTCCAGATGGACATTTTAAAGGGGGGTGAATATAAAACAGACTCCACCTGTGCCTCTGGGTATTTATAACAACTTCATGTTCAAAAGATATGTTCTTTGTCTTCCCAGTTTGCACGTGGCAAACTTGCTGCTTCTTTTTGAGGACATGGAAAATGTGCAGAATAAGAGAAAGGCTTTATCATCTGCAGCCCAACTATGCTTATTACCTCGCATGCTTATTACACACATGCTTATAAGCTCAGGAGCAAAACTAGAGCAGATACACAAATATACCCATGACCACATGCACATGCACACATAGAGACATGATAACGGCACTGGGGTATTTTCATGCTATAAATAACCCTTGGGCAGAGTCTATCCTGTAATAGACACGTGCTGCCTCCTTCCCTGACCTCCCCTCCCAAAACTCACATAGCATGAAAGCTTCATAGAACGCATGATAATACAAAATGTGGCAATGCATTTCACAGAGTCATGCCTTATGTTTGGTTTAATGTGTCTTTTAACTTTTTAGAGGCTTGTTAATTTGGAGAGCAAACTGTTTAACTGTGCTTATGAAATAGTTACGTCAGAGGTATATTGGGTTATTTAAGCAGCACTTTAGGGTGTTTAAATGGCAACAATCTCAGTCTAGTTTTCAGTAGAGATATTTGTTTAAAACTGTAAGTGTTCAGCTACACTGACAGATTTCTGCCCCTTGAGTTACTTGTGACAGACAAGAATTGGCGCTTTGTAGCAGTGCTACATCATAGAAAACAAAGAAGTTGATTATACAACATTAATTTAAATTTAAATTGCTGTCCTTTTACAACTACAAAATAATCGCCCAACTTTTTTCTGATTGCCAGGTTTCCTCTGTGATCAGTCATACAGGATGTTATTTGCCACTATTTCTATTAAAGCAAACCTGAAACAATTGGCCCAAACAAACTTCCTGCGCTGAAAACTGATGGAGGCAGACATGTCATCATGCGCCTGGACAACAGACATTGTTGCATCCAACACTTACAGGATGCTGCAATACTGTCTGGACAACAGACATCTGTCAAATCAAAAAATATACCTAAATGACTGAAGGACAGACACAAATCAGTTATAAAAGATTAAGAATGCATGGATGGGGAAACATTACTCAAATGTGATAATTCATATATATGATATCATCATCATGACATCATGTGTTAAAATTTATGAACCACGTTCAGTGACAAAGGAAAAACATTTTGTAGTTTGTCCTTCTTCTGCTTCTGACTGGTTCTGCAGCAACATGGTAACCATAGTTGAACCCTTACCTTTACTCACTTAGAAAGTAGTGTCAGCTACATATCTAAAAGTAAAATGCTTATTGTGTTTAATGGGTAAGGTAGAGGGTCGTAAAATGCTTACATGTGTCAGCTCTGCATTGCTGCCTGCTTCAAACATGTAACTCCCTCCAGCTTTAAATAAGCCCAATCTGAGCTAAGCTTTAGGGACCACCGTCCGTCCTGCCATCTGGTCTCTGTTGCTTGCCCTGGAGAATAACCATTCCAACTAAAACTCTTTCTCTCTGTCTCTCCCAGGATCCATGCAGGTGAGGTGAGGACAAGGACAAGATCTGCATCTGCCCCGTCTGTCTGTCAATGAACCAAGTGCCTCGGTGCCGGCCACCCTCAGGTCACCTCGACCATGACGGGCGCCAAACAATAAAAGTCTTGACCCAATGTCCCTCAGACAACCTGCACAAAGCAAATATTTGAGGCCATTATATCTAATTTAACCAGGCAGCCATCACTGAAAAGATCAACAGTGAAGGGTGTTGTCGGGAGACAGAAAGAGAGAAGAAAAAGTAACCCTGCCTGCTATTTCTGCTGTGCTGTGGGCAGGCAGTGTCTCATTTGGGAGTGCTCTTGGCTGACAAAAAAAAAGGACTTCCCTCTGCCCGGCCTGCCTATCCAAATGCCTGTGTAAATACTGGATAGAGATAACAATTTGTCTGGGCTCTAAAATTGCCCAACAAACAGACTGTAAGCTATCTATAAAAAACGTTACACCAACCGACTTGGATTCTGTGGTCTCCTGAATTGCTACCAATCTATTACACCTCAAGGAAGAGTCGAGAGCTGTGTGTACAGGAATGAGAGCTGCCACCATTTTCTACACTTAAATACTTTTACAAACACTCTCACTTGGTTTGAAATTTTCACAGGGCCAACTGTCTCTGGGGGACACTGGAAGCTGTCAGTCATTTGCAGTTTTGATGTCTTTCCCAGCTCAGTGAATCAACATGAAGCCCCTAACACCCATTGGATCCCCATCACCTTTAAGGCTCCTCAACAAGGGTCCAGACTACCTGCGCAGGCAGATAGATGGCGGAGGCCACGGCCGCTCAATCAGCGCTGTGGAGAGGCTTGAGGCTGACAAAGCCAAATATGTCAAGAGCCAGCAGGTGATCAACACCAAACAGGAGCCTGTACTGGTCCCCTGTGCTACACCACCACCACAGCCTCGGCGAGCTTTTGCCATCCCAGGCAGCCTGACACCTCATCTTTCCCCACGGTGTTCATCCAACACCCCTTCTCTACACTGTCTGGCTCCTTCACCTCAAGAGATGAAAATGAGAATGATGACTCCAGAAAGGAGAACCGACGGACTTCTGTTGACATTGAGGCGCATAACAGGAGCAATGTGAACAATGTCATGCCGCCCAACCCCAGGACTCCAGGAATAAGACTTTGGTAGCACCACACAGTGCCCCTGTACTCAGAAGAAGTACAGGCAAACGCATGCTGAGGCCGGACTCCCTTGTCATTTACAGGCAGAAGAAAGAGTGCAAGAGCCCCAGTGATGCAGCAGTGGGAGAGAACAATAACATGGAAGTGAAGGGCTACAGTTTTGTCCGGCGCCTCTTCCAGGGCTCCATGAGGGATAAGAGTAGTGGAGGAATCCAGAAGATGGTGATTGGTGAAGAGAAAGCGCCATCACGGGATGGAGACTCCCGCATGTCTTGGACCAATGACAAAGACATTATGGATGGTGGACCAGGGAGCAGGAGGTCAAGTAAAACAGATCAAGAACGCAGCCCAGGGTCAATCCCCAGCCCCGGGTTTAGCTGTACACTTGAACGGACTAAGAATGGATTTACAAATGGTACCAGTGATGGAATTAAAAATGGTATGACCAATGGCAACCACTCAAGTAAGCATGATGACGAGAATGACCCGTGGAAACGGGCGTCACCACTACCAGCACCCAGAAGGCGGTTTGGGGAGTTGCAACGCTCCAAGTCAGACCTGCGTCTGCGCTGCTCAGTAGTGTTATCAGAGCATGAGCATTTCTTTGACTTCTGTGGGCTGGACATAGACATGATAGAGCGTCTGGGTCGAGACAATTTCCTCTCTGGTGCCAGCTCCATAGACACACTCTCACTGGCCCTCCGCAGTGTAAGTGGGGACGGCTGTGGTGGCTCAGAGCCCAGTGAGTTCTCCCGGCACTCAGGAGACGGGCTATTTCAGGAGGAGCTGGCTGAGCAGCTTCCCACTGGTGTGTCAATCATTGAGAGAAACGCACGTGTCATCAAGTGGCTTTACGGGTGTAAGAACGCTGCTCGAGAGGGACCCAAAGAGTCTACTGTTTAATACATGGACAAGGAATCATGTGCCACGGAGTGTAGAGTCTGAAGGTTGTGTCTTTTCTGATAAAACAGTAAACCAGGAAGGAACTAATCAGTGAAATCGCCTGGTGTAAAATTTGGTTCTGCAGCAACTTTACTCTTTGTGCAGAAATTTGCACTATAAACCAAAAGTCAAAGATTTAAATCATGAGTGACATTCAATTGATTTTCAAAAAATAACATTCAGAATGGGCTGTGATGAGGTAGCAGCATTGATGCAATGCATCATAGAACGAAAAAATAGGACTTGGTTGTAATTTGAGTCACAAGCAGCAATGTGATTTTTCATTTAATTTTTGAAAGAGTGTCATTGACAGTCAACTTAGGTTTTGTATTGGGCACGTAGAGTTAGCATTCCATGGCACATGATTAAAAGAAGCTGTTTCTTCAAATGAGAGGACAACAATTGCTACTAGTTATCTCCTGTCAAATTGCTATATTGTATTTATAGATCCTATAGAAGTATTGAAACTTTTTCTCCCAGCAAATTGTATTGTTATCAGTGTATGTGTGTGTGTGTGTGTGTGTGTGTGTGTGTGTGTGTGTGTGTGTGTGTGTGTGTGTGTGTGTGTGTGTGTGTGTGTGTGTGGCTGTAAAGTATACATTGCTGTCCTCTCTATTTGTAGCTTCTTTTTAGTTATTGACTGAACTGGATTCAGACTGATCTGAATTCAGCCCCTGTGACCCCTCACAAGGCACATATGTTTACTGTATGTTAGTCATGACACAGTGGACACAGTTTAGTGTCCTTGACACCGACACTCTCCCTTAATGACTAAATTGAAATGGAAAACCACTAAGCTAAGTTTTTTCTAAACTGGAAAACTGTTGTGTGAGTGTGAAGTGAACCATGAGTACCTCATTCGATCTGTCCCAGTTTAGTTTGTGTGTTGCTTTTTTTTACTCCTTAAACGCAGGCGTTGGAACAAACATGCGAAGCACCCCTGTGGGGTTGTTAATGCACTGAACTGGACAGAGAGAGAGGAAATGAAAGATAGGGATGTTGCTTTTACTCTGTACAGAGATTCATCTCATATAACGTTAAACACTGAGCTGCATTCAAAGGAACACCTGCATCATAGAAGACAAAAAGCCATGCATGGCCAGTAATTTTCAGCATTTTCATTCATTTTCCAAACCCTAAAGAGGTTCAATTCTCACACAGAATTCTTACACTTTCCAATAATCACTTATGACACATTCATTGATTACCCCAGCTAATCGTTCATGTGTTCAGTACTCACATCTGTGTAAGCTATAGAGTTGCAGAGATGATAAATGGAGAATACAGAAGAGAGGGGAAAAAAGAGCAAAACTGGAAAATCTCACCAAAGAAGTTGAAAAATGAAGCATGTTCAAATGATATATTACCTCCAAAAATAAAGGAGCTCAAGTTGTCAAACCCTTGCTGCAATATGTTTTAGGTTGTCACTTTTACCATCTGGCAGTTTATAGACGTTTAACCTTCCCAGCTGGCTTCAGACAGCCTGTTTCCCATCAAAACAAGCAGGGGAGGCTGAAGCCGCCCTCCTTTTTCTGATAACCCAGGATCCTACCTCACTTCATCCATCCTTCAATGTTTCTCACTTTATCTCCATGAAAGGTCATTTCCATTGCTTGTCCTAGAGGACGCCTCTGAAATATGAACTAGGGGTCTGCAGAGGTATGCAGAGGTTAGACTTAGAGGCATTCTGGGCATGTTATATTTGTACATGTGATAAATGAACACACTTACGTCTTCTGCATCTTTCGATATGTTTTTTTCTGTATTTATCATCTGCATGGCACACTCCTGAAACCCCTTCAACTTGGACATTTTAGGTTTTATAACTGCCTGTTGAAAATCATTTGGTTGCATGTTTACAAAGTGGCTCCATAAAATCAAACATAAAATCTCTTTTTATTTGATATATATTAGAGATTTAAGTTTTATTCCAAAGAGATTTGTGTATGATGTACACAGCAAATAAACACAAAGAAAGAACTACTACTTGTGTGAATTTATTTGTTGTCTTTGTTGTGTTTTTGGGTGATTTTAAGGTTAAAGTTTATTGTCTTCCACAGGAGACATTTGTTTTGATTAAGGGAATTGCTACATCAAAAACAAACATTATAATAAAACACATTAAATGAAAACCTGAAATAAGATGGAGATAAGATTCTTATACAAATAGCGCACATAGCAGACAAAGATACCTTTTATCTGCATAAATAATTTCTTGTAACATTTTCTATTCCAGAAAATCCAGTCAATATTTACTAAATATTTAATTCATATTACCTTAAATTCAATATAGCATACAGAAAAGGCTGTGACTGAGTCGTTCTCTAATCTTAAGAGGGTAATGGTCGACTGAGTCAGTGTTGTGTCTCGTCCTTGACTCTTTGTTTCCTCCCTCCACCACATCACGTCTCATTTTTCACATTATCTCAAGTGGCTAGGCGCTAATCCTTTTAGCATTCCCTGCATAGTATGTTGAAGTGAGTTGCAGCAGGTTGTGTTTGTAGACAAGGAGGGCTGTGTGGCCTGATGCTATGTAGACCTGAGTCAGCTTTTGTTTCCACTTGCGCCATCGTACAATGTATTCAAATCTCAAGGGTGGGAAAAACTACAAGCATTTTATTTTATGCTGACAAGTCTCCCTAAACTGGAAGTCAGAGCTGGAATCTTAAAGTGAATATATCAGGTGACATTTGTTGGAAATGTTCCATTGTCAGTAAATTGGTGACTGACTTGCTTCAAGAAAAGTAAACAATTTGGGGAAATGTTTTTATTCTCTTTCTTGCTGAAAGTTGGATTATAAAATTAGCACCACTTCACAAAGTATACTGGTAGCAGGTAAACAGCTAGCCTACCAGCCCAGCCACTGTTCACCAAGAATCGTTACAGCATGTAACTCCCTGTAGAAACACAACATGTCATATTTATATTTCTGTTTGTGTACAGATTAAACAAACAAGCCATAACTTGTTAATTAGAGCCTGACATTGAAAGGCAGATTGGAGAAAGACTAGCTGTTTCACCCTGTTTCAAGTCTTCAAGTTAATCCTGGCTGACTCTCATGTCTGTAGCATAAAAAGTTCTGTAGCCAGCAGCCAGTTAGCTTAGCATTGCACAGAAACTGAAAACAGCTAGTGGGAAACAGCTAGCCTGGCTCTGTCCGAAGGTAACAAAACCCACCTACCAGCCCCTCTAAAGCTCACTATTTATATCTTGTTTATTTAATAAATAGCTTACAAAAAATGTAAAAAAACAAAAATTGGCTGTTTGTTGCCAGGCAAGTCGTGGGAACTACACAATGCTACTTTTCATAAAATGGCTAATTGTCATTGTTACACTTACATTTTTGTACAAATTACCTTAGAGGTGCTTGTTTCCTGATACCCTCTGTTCCAGAAGCTAATTGCTAACTCCATCTATAGTATTTACCATGCAAAAATGCAATGTGGCATCAATCTTTTAATTTTTTGGAAAGACAGTGAATTAGCTTCCAAACATATCAAACCCTTCCTTTCAGATATCCAAATTAGCTTTATTTATTCCCAGGGCTTACAGATGTGAATTACAAAATGTCTCCACATCCCAATACAATTACATGTGTGCTGTCAGGCTAAAAGTTGTTCCATTATTCACTGTCCATGGAGCAGCTCCAGGGTTTGTCTGAAGATGACTTCATCAGCTGTTCAGCTTGAGAACAGACTTAAAATTTACAAAGGAAAAAATATGTGATTTCTATTTTAGGAAGGACTTTCCCTTTAAAAAAGCCCAGAAGGACATTTAAGGATAAAAACGTCTGACATATGACGTAGATTCCCTGGGCTCTATTATGCAGACACTGAACAAAATTTTGCTAGCTGGTTGTTTTTTCAGATAGCCCAAAAGTCTTTAAGTTTCTAACAGCAACACATACAGTGTTATCTACACACACAAAGACACACACACATCCAATTTCTCTATCCCTTACCACACTTCCTTTTCCCTCTCTCTGTCTTTCCCAAAGCAGAACAAAACAATAGCCCTCCTGTGTGCCTGTGTCTATGTCAGTTAGTCTGACCGGAGGGCCCGCTGTGACATCCTGTTTTGGATTCATAGGACAAGGTTTAAACATATGGTCATGTTTTGGGTTTGGTCTTTCTTCTTCTGTCTGCCTGGAAATAAACAAGACAACAGCTGGCACTGTAGAGGACAATTCAGATCTTATTATTACAGGAATGATAGAGTTTAGGTTGGTCTAAAGTTCAGCTTATCGGGGGAAGTCGAGCTGGTGTACCTGTTTAAGACTTTAGTCTGCTTGCAAAAAATGCTTGGGTGGGATCCACCGCTGCTTTGATGCTGCTGATGTGGTTTTTCACTCACATTAAAAAACACCACAGGGGTCCAAAGACCTCCTGCTTTACACTTTGGCCCATCAGCAAATCCTGTAGAGCAAAGTTCTGACCCAATTACGACTTGACAAACTGGTTCGGAGTCTTTGCATCTCTTGGAACACAAAACTTCTGTTCTACTTTTCTCAGTAATTTAAAAACCCACAACTGTTTATAATTCACACAAGCATTTGTGGTTTACTTTATTCATTTTGTAAGAGTTTTGCTTAAAGGCCCTAGCTGCCATAACAGCATTACAGACTTAGAGGGCAACAAATGAAAATCTTATTCCTTTTTTGCCCAGAGTTTAAAACTCATTGTGGTCTTGAACGCTTCGGGCAGTTGTCACAACAAGAGATTGTTATATCGCACAGAAAGGCATAACATGAGCTTTGTTGGGGATAAAAACCTCCTGTCCTGCAGTTTGACAACAACTTGTCAAATACAACATTTCATGTCCGAGTGGCCTTTAACTGTGATGCATTTGTAGCCAGGATTTTTCCTCTCTGCTCTGAGAAGCAATAATATGTGTCAGGGTTAGCATGGGTTGTGAAGTGTGTCAAATCTGGCCTAGTTCTTCTGCGCCAGCAGCTTCAGCAGACTGTGGATGTCTACGCTTGAGAGAAGCTCAGTTCATGACTCAGGGACAGGCTGAACTTACACAAAGCTAGCACACAGGTCTGTAAGGTCTGCCAGGACAAGAATAAATCATGTTAGCAATTAGCAGCTGTTACCAAGGCATAGTTTCATCAGAGATGTGCTAGATATATCGAAAGCTACAAGCATCGGGGACTTTGTAGAAGCATAGGTGTGCTGTAACTGAAGATACTTGTGAGGACAAGAGCTGTGTACTACTGTACATACTTATTCTGACTGGACTATCTCAACATCAGAGATCATCTTAGAGTTTAGCTTGTCTTACAGAGGCACCTTGAATGAACAGGTTTAGGATAAGGCTAGTACAAGGCTGCAATAAGTGTTCAAGGTACCGAATCAAGAATGATAGAGAGAACCCAAACCTGACCCCACAGTCTGATTTGATACAGTCGCAGACTGACTCACGACTGAGAGACTAAAATAAAATCCTCATAACTGAGTCCAAGGAATGACTGGAATGATCCAAAACAGTATCAGTCAAATCAGTTATGTATTGGTGTTCCAAAACAGAGCAGCTGGTTCACATCTGGGAAAGCAACCTATCAGAGAATCAGTCAAAAAGGCATGATTACTGTGTTGTACCAGCCTATTGTCCTAACACAAAGCAATTTCAAAATCCAGTTTCACCATTTCAGTTACTGCCCCTTTCACTCTGAATGCCAAGCTTCTCCCTCCAAATGGCTGAAATCTTAAACCAACGTTGGCAGGACTTGCTGGGGGAAGGCGCTTTGGTGTACCCCCACCTCCGTAACAAAAACCATCCCTGAGCTGAAGGTATCCTATAGCTACGTTGGGTCATAAATCAGAGGAGTGGCCCTTTTCATTCCCCTCTCTCATGCGTGAACTCTGCTTCCAGGGGGGGTCAGGGAGATGGGCTGAGCCTCGGGCCTGTGGGAAACCTGACCAGGAGCTATGGACCCTCTTCAAATAACTATCTGACATCAGGAGAGACTAAAGCAGAACAACGGCAGGGCTGCCGGAGGGACTCTGGTTTAACCCCAATTGAAACTTACAGGAAGAGGAGACAAGTTTTATGTGTTCAGTGAGGTCAGTTGACCCTCATTGTAGAACAAAGGCACTACTGACTGCAGCTGGGTTGAACCGAAACTAAATATTGAACAGGTTTCTTTCAGGGAGTATTCCATCTATTGACATTTTCCTGGTTTAGGTGTTCCGTCGGTCACTTTAACCTTCACTACCTTGTGAACAAGTTCATGTTAGTATGAATACACATAGGCCTACACGGTCACAACTGCCACACAGATTGACAGTGAAACATAATGTTATCAAAAGGCAAAGCTGCCAGCTGTCTCCTCTCTCGTTGAACCACACTGGTAAGAT